CGGGACAACCACGGGGCAACTGCGAGACAACCGAAAGATACGGGGCCGGGCAGCGCCCCTGGGCGGCCACCCCATAGATACGATGAGCGTTTTCGCGGACGCCCCGCGCGGAGCGCGCCCATGCAACCGCTCATCGACGGGACCGCGCCCATAAAAACCAAACACGAGGGAGCGCATCTGGATACATTCGCCGCTCGTGACTGACTGCTGCCCGAAAATATAACTTCTTGATGTTTTCAACGCACGGCCCCCAGAAATCCAGACCGTCCCTGCAGGGACGACTTTTTCATTCCAAACCGATCTGTGGCGGCCCCAAGGCCCGGCAAGGCCCCCAAACGCCGATAAGGGCCCAAAGCCGTCCGCCGCGATGCCTGCCACGACGATGGCGGCCCCCAAGCCAAACCCCTCGGGAGCGGCCAAGAGGGGGGTGCCCAAGAGGGGGGGGGCGCAAATCACGACCGGCGGCATGTGCGCCGCCCAGCGGGGGGGCCAGGGACGTAATGAAATAAGAAGAGGCGCCATGAAATCTGCGGAAGTATCATGACCCCCGCCACGATATCCACCCCCCTCCCCAGTCATTTCCCCCCCTCTTTCCCGCCCCCGAGACCCCAGACCCCGCGGCGCGGCGGCCGGGCCATCGGCCCCCTGGGCCCCAGGCCCGCGGCGTAAGTCGCGGCTGCGAGGCCGATGTGGCATCACAGCAGCAATTCGGCCCCTGACTTTCGTCCTGGGTTCGGTTTAGTGAAGTGACGAATTTCGGGGCCCCTACGTGGGGAAAAACATCACTTCACTAATCTGGGGCCCCTGGGGCCTCAGTGGGCCCTGGGGCCCAAAATTAGTGAAGTGATGGTTTTCGGGCCTCGGAACGGCGCCGTGGACCGCCCGCGCAGGCGAAGTGGCGCCGCAGCCCCGCGTCGCGCGTCGCGCGCGCGCGCGCGCCGCGGCGCGCAGGCCGTGCGGAGACGGCGGCCCGGCGAAGAGCACCCCTGTCAGCGATGGGCGGGCAGAACCCGCGCGTGCTCCTACTCTGCATATGCAATGCGGGCGCGGCCGCGAGAGACCCTCGCAGGAAACCCAACCCTGTCAACACGTGCGCGGGGTCCTCACCTCCTCCTCCTCCTCTCCTCCTCCTCCTCCTCTCCTCCTCCTCCTCCTCCTCCTCCTCCTCCTCCTCCTCCTCCTCCTCCTCTCCTGCTCCTGCTCTCCTCCTCCTCCTCCTCCTCCTCCTCCTCCTCCTCCCCCTCCCCCTCATGCTCCTGAGGGGAAACCTGGAGCACCCTGAACGCAGCGGTTCCTTCCACGGCTGCGGGAGGTCACCGCGCAGCAAGAGGGCGAGAGGAAACTCAGGACACCCTGGCGAAAAGCCATTGTTGAGGATGTATCAAAGAGGACAAAAAGCCAAGGATGTCTCAAGATATCCTCGGCTTTGGCTCCTCTGTTAACATCTTTATGCTGGGATCTGGTGGGCAACTTTTACTATCGCACCGTAAACGCCGAACTTTATTTTCCCAGGAGGTTGTTCTCGGCTGTATGGGGTTATGGTTTCTCGATGCGCACCCCCACTGTACTGCCTTGCTCCTCCATCCCTCGTCCCTCGAACCAGCTCCCCCATGTCACACCACAGGAAGTGTGCGAAGGCCAAATCGGGGGGGTCGCCTGAGATTTCCTTGCTATCCTTCAAGCTAAAAAGGCTTCACTGTCACGCGGGTGGAGACAATATGTTTTTTTGAAAATGGAATGTTCATGTTGACGCCGCGCACATTCGTCCTAAAAGCACGCAAAGGTTAAAGGGATGGAAGCTGGCCCGGTTACACAATCGAGTCTCGTTTGATGCCTCCTCAAACTCTGTGACCCGAGCCCCCCAAGTGTGCAGCAGCTATTCGCATGGATGGGACATCCCTTTCAAAATCGAGCTCTCGCCCACGACTATCTCAATTCCGCCAGCCCCCTTGGGGGCCAACAAGCTGCGTGGACCAGGATGCCCGAGGGAAAAGATGGGAGCGGACACCGAAACTGTCGAGCTAAATACGGGAAGCACCTTGGGCCAGGGGCACTTCCAGCCACCCCCGGACAGAGGTTGTCGTTTCAGGTCCCACGTTTGTTATGACGTCTGACCTTCCCCAGATCACGCGCCCCGAACTTCCTGGGAGAGCGGAGCAGGGGCGAAGGAGGGAAGAAGGGGAGGAAGAGGGAGAGGACGGCGGGGAGGAGGGGGGCGAGGAGGAGGAGGGGAGAGGAAGAGGAGGAGGACACGAACGAAGAGGAGGAGAAGGAGAAAGGGGCGAGGCGGGGGACGGGGGCGAGGAAGAGGCGGAGGAGGAGGAGGAGGAGGCGGCAGGAGAGCCCTGGCACACATTGCATACCACAGCTGCGCGCCCCCGAAGCCACGCTCCCTCGCACGGCCACGCCCCTCCTCCCACTCTCCCCGGGGCCACAGCCCGCGGTACCTTACGCCAGGTTGTCGCGCTCAGCGAGGCCACGGCCCGCTGCGGAACCTTCGACAAGCAGGTGTTCCTCCTCCTCCTCCTCCTCCTCCTCCTCCTCCTCCTCCTCCTCTCCTCCTCCTCCTCCTCCGCCCCCCCCCCGAAAACGACCACGCGCTGGCGCCAACCGGGACCGCGAGCGCTGGGACTGCGCCAGCCTCTCGCCCCCCGCCCCCCCCCCCCCCCAGCCGCAATCCCTTGTGAAATACGCCAGGCTCGCGCTCCCGAGGCCACCACACCTTTGCACGACGAACGAACAACACACACCCATACCCATTGAAGGGTCGTTGAAAGGAGGACTGGCTGTGGGTATGGGTGCGGGTTGTTGGACCCTGGGGAACGCTCCCGTTCGAGCGGGGGCCCCCATCCGACAACACGCACCCATAGCCCTCTCCGACCCCCCTATGGGTATGGGTGTGTGTTGTTGGTTCGTCATTTGCACCAGATGACACGGCCGCGCCCCCGAAGCCGCAACGCCTCAAAATTGATACGCATTGGCGCTCCCGAGGCCACGAACCTCACGAAGGCCGCCAACAAGCGCCATCCCCTCTGCAAATCAGGACACCTGTAATGATATGTGTTGGGATATGTGTTCGGGCACGGCAATGATCTGAAGAAAAAACCAAACGGAAACCCAACACGATCCTTGAAGAACATGCAGGAGATCCTCCTGACGGAATGTGGCTGTCAAGTGTCGGGGTACAGGGCCCAGCGGGTACATTTGACACCCGTCGCCGCCAGGTTGGCTACCTACCGCTGGGGTACCAGACCCGAACGGGCGCGGTTGGGAACCAAATTGAATGACGGACCCGAAACACCAACGATGTAAGAGAACACATGCGATCACACATGCGACAGAAACCGTCGTCATCCATCCTCTGGACCAGCCGCCCCGCGCATCCCTGCTCCGCTGTCGTCATCCTTGCCCACCCGATTGTCATTCCCTTGATCGCCCTCCACCTTTTCCTCGTCCTCCTCCTCATCATCAGCAGTCCACCTCAACCCGCTCACCTTTTGTTGGGAATCGCGAAATGGCACCGCTGGCTCTCCAGACCAGCATTCAACTTTTCAGCCTTCACGGCGTTCAAAACCGTCCACGAGGTCCCCACGGCCGCCCGAAGATGGCCAAAGAGGGTCCCAAGAGGCTCTCCAGACGGCCCAAAAGAACTCCAGGACGGCCCCAGAGGCGCCGTAGACGGCCCAACAGAGCTCGAAGACGGCCCCAAGAAGGGCCCAACAGAGGAACCACGACCCTAGAATTCCAACCTTCCTCCCACTGAGGCTCCCAGAAGATCCCACAATGCCGCCAAAAAGCCCAAGAGAACCCCATGAAACACCCAAAGGGTCCCAAGGAGCCCCCAAGAGGCCCAAAAGAGGCCCCACGTGGCGTGCCACTTCCGGGGCCCGTGGCCCCCCACAGACACGGCAACACAAGAAACAAGGGGTCGGCGGATGTGGCGTAAGCCTATAAAATCAATGACGTTTCCTTGGGTGGTTGAAAGATTGTCGCATTTGCTCCTTTTCGGCCTTCCGACGGCCCAAGACGGCCCAAGAGGCCCCAAAGATCGCCCCAAGATCGCCCAAGAGGCCTCCAAGATGGCCCCATGACAAGCCAAGAGGCCACCGAGAGAGCCCCAACAAGACCCCAAGACGGCCCAAGAGGCCGCCCCCAAGACGCCCAAGATGGCCTCCAAGACGGCAAGGTTGGCCTCCGAGATGCCTCCAAGATGCCTCCAAGACGGCCAAGAAGGCCTCCAAGACGGCGAAGATGGCCCCAAGATGCTCCCAAGACGGCCCCAGATGGCCTGAAGATGGGCTTAGGCTGCCAAAAAGGCCCGCCAGAGGCCTCCAAGACGGCCCAAGACCCCTCCGAGACGTCCTCCAGGAGGCCCGAAAGCTCGGAAACCACCTGGTCCGATTGCTCGCCCGACTCCGTGTTCCCCGGAGGCTTTCGAAACCCACTCGGGGAACGCGTGGCCCGATAGCTTGGCCAAGCTCAAACCCAATTTTCGGCCACGCAGGCGCTTCCAAAAAGCAGCCTCCCTCACTCCCTCCCTCCCTCCATCTATTCATCCCTCCCCCTCATCCCCCTTCCCCTCGTCCTTCCTCCCCTCCCCCTCGATGAGCATGGAATGCATCGCAAAAAGATCCAGAGAAGAACAATCGCAAAATGCTGGACGGATCAATCATCGAGATCGCCTGTGCATTTTGTCCGCCTGAGCCCACCATCGAACATAAACGCCTCCTGTCTGGCCAGTCTGGCCCCTTCCGGGGAGACGGATTTGAGCAGTGCTTCCTCCATCCTCTTCCCCGTCCCCCTTTCTCCTCCTCCTCCAACTCCTCCTCCTCCTCCTCCTCCAACTCCTCCAACTCCTCCTCCTCCTCCTCCTCCTCCTCCTCCTCCTCCTCCCCCTCCTCCTCCTCCTCCTCCTCCTCCTCCTCCTCCTCCTCCTCCTCCTCCTCCTCCTCCTCCTCCTCCTCCTCCTCCCCCCGCCTCCTGCCCGCGTCGACGAGCTCCTGAGTCCCCGGGCGGACACGCGCAGCCCGTGTTCCGCGGCCAGGTCTTCTGCAGCCTGCAGCACGTCCACCGAGGCGGGGCAGTGTAGCGTGGCCTGCCCGAGAGGCCAGGAAGACAACGGCTAGGAAGACAACAACCACCAAAACACCACTGCGAGCACGAACTCCCTCCCTCCATCCCCACCTACGTCCTCCTTCCTCCCCCCTCCCTCCTCTCTACTCCTTTTTCCCCCTATCCTACCTGTTTCTTGATCCATCCTCCGCCTCCTCCGCCTCCTCCCCTCCTTCGTCCCTCCCTCCCTCTATCCATCCCTCCTTCGTCCATCCCCCCGCGGCATCAAGAACCAGGAAAGCTTCGGGGCCCCGTGGTCTCAAGAATCCTCAGACGGGCCTCTTGCTACCCCTCGCTGCCCCAGTGGGGAAAGAGAGAGGTCTCGAAAAACGCCAGTGCTGCAGTGCACGCGCCGCCGGCACGGCAAGAGGCCGAATCCCCGCTGCATCCGCTGGTTCTCCCCCCGTCCCCGCGGTCTTCCAGCCGCACCTCTTGTAGGGGACGGGTGAGGGGGGCGAGAAGGGGTTGGCTCCAGGTGGGGTGTGTCTCCCTACAGGCAGATTTGGACAACAAACGAAAAGTAGTCAAAAGTATTCCAAACATGCTACAAAATACTCCCCTGACTATTTTTTACTATTCTTGAATGTTCCCCCCGTAGAGGGACATGCCCGACTCAGGTTGGCTGCCACTGCGGCCTGGAGTCTGTAGGCGAAGGGTACCGCAGAACAACATCGAGGCGCCCTGGGGGTCAGTGGCAGCGGCGATCTCTGACGGGGGCAGCACTTCGCTGGCGCGCACAGCGGCTGCCTCGCAGGGGGATGGATTGGCGTGGCCTGCAGGTGCGGGCTGGACGGCTGCGCTGCGCTGCCTCGAGAGGTACGCCGGTCCCGCCGGAGACAAAAGACGCGGGCACTGATGGCGTGGGGAGGCACGACCAAAGATCGACAGGTGTTAAACGATCTGCTTCGGAACAGTTCGAAGGGAGCAGGGATGCAGAAGTGAGCATCGTGCCACCGTGTCACAGTTGACTCTCGAAGTCTGCTGACCCCTGTTGTTTTGGAGCAAGCTTCATTTGCAGACGTACGACAACAGCTGGTCCATGACTTGTTTCAATGTGGAGGGCCCCATATGTGCATACCTGCCCTAGCGCTGTCATTCCTCAGTGTTTTAATATGGAGGGATCCCTGTGTACGTGTCTGCATATGAGTGACTGTGTATTGGTGTCGCTGGGCGGGACCGAGTCTGACCATGAGTGACTGGGTACGCCTGGCTCTGAGATTGAGGTGGTCTACGAATGAGTGTGTCTGGATATGAATATGGGTGTGAACGAATATGAGTCTCAGTGAGTCTTGGTATGAACAATTGGGTCTGGATGAGTCTCAGTGTGTGAAGACCTGCATTTAGCTGGCTGGGCATGAAATGGCTCGATAGTTATGTCATGAAAGGACTTTGGACATAGCTCATGGGACGCTCATGACCGCCTGATTACGCACTAGCGATCTCTCTATTCAATCGGGGCAACGCGAGAGAAAAATAACATGTGAGCCAGCCGAAGATCATTAGTGAGTCTTTAGTCAAGATCAAAGGGTAAATTATTACTGGACCATTCATGGATCATGAGTGGGTCGAATTCATTAGTGGGTCACGGATGGTCAAATTCATTCGCGTGCCATTAGCGGGGCCATTAGCGGGGCCAGTAGTGGGGCCATTCGTGAGCCATGAGCGGGAAGTTTGTGGCGCAACAACGGGGCATTAGCGGACCATTAATGGACCAAAAAGATGGTGGGATATTCCATAGCAGCCGTGAAGGCAAGTCCTTCATGACAAGTGGGTCTGAGCTTAGACGGGTACTCAGTGGAACGCGCATGAGCGTGGGCGATTCTGCATATGACCGACGAAATACGAATGGGCCTGAGTGCGCGTGAGACTGAGCGTGCCCCACTGAATACAGCTGAGCCTGCGTATGAATTGGCCTGAGTGTGAGTGGCAGCGAATATGAGTAAGCCTGAACATTTGTGAAAGGATCCTGGGGTATCCTGGGGCCTCTCGCGGGCCCTCCTGGGACCACCCAGGCCTTCCTCGAGCGCCCAAGGAACGTTTGGGGTGTCTTAACCCTCCTGGAGGCTCTCCTCGGCCTGCTGGGGTTCCCTGGCGATTCTTGGAACCAACGTGCCCTCCTGGAGCTTTCTGGGGCCCTTTGGGGCCCAGTCTCCGTTGAGCTCTGAACCTTCTGGAGCTTCGTGGGGCATCCTGAGATATCCTGGAACGTCTACATGCAACATCCCTGTTCGACATCCCCTTGATGAACTTACGAGGCCCCAGAGACGCCCCCCAAGGGCTCCAAGCCAAGCGGATCCTCAACAGGACCCCAAGATGCCGAAACCATTGATTCCCTCATCTGTTTCGCAGATGATAGCATTCTTGCCTTTTTCAAGTTCCGACATATGTGGTGAAATCTACGTGGTGAGCCAGCTGCGCGGTACAAGCTACATGCAGTGCGATCTTTCTAAGCGTGGAAACAGCAGTAATAATGGTAAGTGTAGCTGGTGCTGTTGTAGAACTAGTAACAATGGCAGTAGCAGTAGTAGTAGCGGCAGCAACAACAGTCGTAGCAGTAGTAGTGGTAGTAGAAGTAGAAGTTGACGTTGAAGTAGAAGTGGAATTAAAAGTAGATGTAGTAGTAGTAGTAGTACTAGTAGTAGTAGTAGTAGTAGTAGTAGTAGTAGTAGTAGTAGTAGTATTAGTAGTAGTAGTAGTAGTCGTAGTAGTAGTAGTAGTAGTAGTGGTAGTAGTAGTAGTAGTAATCGTAGTAGTAGTAGTAGTAGTAGTAGTAGTAGTGATAGGTGCCTAGTAGTAGTAGTAGTAGTAGTAGTAGTAGTAGTAGTAGTAATACTAGTAGTAGTAGTGGTACTAGTAGTAGTCGTCGTCGTCGTCGTCGTAGTAGAGGTCGTAGTAGTACTAGAGGTAGTAGTAGTAGTAGTAGTAGTAGTAGTAGTAGTAGTAGTAGTAGTGATAGTAGTAGTAGTAGTAGTCGTAGTAGTAGTCGTCGTCGTCGTCGTCGTCGTCGTCGTAGTAGTAGAGGTCGTAGTTGTACTAGAGGTGGTAATAGTAGTAGTAGTAGTAGTAGTAGTAGTAGTAGTAGTAGTAGTAGTAGTAGTAGTAGTAATAGTAGTGACAGTAGTAGTAGTCGTAGTAGTCATAGTAGTAGTAGTAGTAGTACTAGTAGTAGTAGTAGTAGTAGTACTACTACTACGATTACTATTGATTGATAGTAGTAGTACTCCTAGTAGTAGTAGTAGTAATAATAACCGTAGTAGTAGTAGTAGTAGTAGCCATAGCAGTAGTAGTAGTAGTAGTACTACTACTACTACTAGTATAGTAGTAGTAGTAGTAGTAGTAGTAGTAGTAGTAGTAGTACTAGTACTAGTAGTAGTAGTAGTAGTAGTAGTAGTCGTAGTAGTAGTAGTAGTAGTAGTAGTAGTACTAGTAGTAGTAGTAGTAGTAGTAGTAGTAGTCGTAATAGTAGTAGTAGTAGTAGTAGTAATAGTCGTCGTCGTAGTAGTAGTAACAATAGTAGTAGTAGTAGTAGTAGTAGTAGTAGTAGTAGTAGTAGTAGTAGTCGTAATAGTAGTAGTAGTAGTAGTAGTAGTAGTAGTAGTAGTAGTAGTAGTAGTAGTAGTAATAGAACATTCGGATATACAATCGCCAAAACGGTTGGGAAATTAGCCTGGCGAAGGACCCAACCATACGCAGTTGTGAATACCGCAAGTGTGAATATCTTCTTCGGTGGCGCTCCCTATGGGGTCACGAACCGTATAAAAAGGGTGCGCCGAAATGTCTGATAGCGTTCACAACACGAACGAAAACGATTGGTCTGAATATGAAAGCTTGAGCGCGGGCGAATCTAAGCGCGAGTGAGTCTGATTCTGAACGAAAATGCGTGCGAGTGGCTCTATTTGCATGACTGCGAGCATGGAGTCGCCTAGTGCAAATGCATACGACTGCGAATGTTTTGGGCTTGCCTGACTCTGAGAACTCGTGACACTGAGCGTAGCCTCCGCAAGGAGTTGTCCTGGGAACCCCGACGGCAGCGCCCGCGAGTCCCGACGCCCATGTTGGCACGCCCCACACGAGGATCGCGCCCGCTTCCTCCACTTTTGTCCCTCCTCTTTGCCAGCGCGCGCACTCCAAAGTTCAAGGCTGCGGGCGCCGCGCTACGCTGAGCCCCCGCGACGCGCGCAGGTCGGACATCGACGACGGAGGACGACGACGAAGAAATCAGCCCTAGGGAAGCTGTCAGGACCACCAGCTCCCTATGGGGCCACGAAACATGTGAGGGGGGGGGCCAATTGGGCGTGCCGGACGCATGCGGGCGGCAGCATTGGGGCCTTGGGTGCAGATCCGTATGGGGCCGCGAAACGTGTGAGGGGTGTGCCGGATTGTGTGTGCGGGACGCATGCGGGCGGCGGCACTGGGGCCTTCGGTGGAGCTCCCTATGGGGCCACGAAACGTGTGAGGGGTGTGCCGAAGCTGATGACGATGATGGTTTCGATGATGGCGATGATGATGGTGATGAGGATGATAGTGACGATGATGATGGTGATGACGATGATGAGGACGACGACGATCACGGTGACGATGATGATGATGATGATGATGATGATGATGATGATGATGATGATGATGATGATGATGATCATGATGATGATGACGATGATGATGGTGGGAGGGATGAGGGGGAGGGGGAGAGGAGGAGGAGTGAGGACGCGGGGCGCTCTCTTCAAAACGAGGGCCCAACACCACAGGATAGTTGGGAGAAACAACGGCACCAACAAACCAACAATCCCTCTGGATGCAAATATAGTTTGACCATGAACGGCCATCGGGCGAGCGACACCCTCTATCCTGAGCAGCCCTTCTCGGGCCGCCGAAAACAATAACAAGAACCCCAACCACAGGAGCAGCCGCAACAACAGCAGCAATCAATTTGAGACTGGCCGCTCCTACCTGCGCACGTTCCATTCAACACGTCTGCCCCAAACACTCGGTACCCGCCCTGTTCGTCTTCGATCGGTGCCCCAGTGGGCTATATCTTCGTTGCCAGCCACGTGCATTTAGCGCAGCAACCTAAAGCAGGTGAAGAGCGGACGGGTGGAAGGGGGGTGGAGAAGGTTGGGGAACGAGAGAAATTAGCAGGATGGGGGCAAGGAACAAAAAACAAGTGGCAGAACCAGACAGGCAGGTCGGGCGGGCAGACCCATAGCGGGCGGGTGGGGAAGGCGGGCCCAGGCCACCAGGTCGAGCAAGCGGGTTGTTGAAGCGCGGGTCGTGCATGAATCGCGAGGATATCCCGAGGGACAGCGCGATGTCCAAGTACATCGCGAAAAAGGCCAAAGCAAGAGCGAGATTCCTGAGCGTCGAGGGTGCATCGTCTGAGTAAGTTGCGAGGAAGTCCCACGCGAGAACGAGGCCACAAAGTGCAGCGAAGGGGCCACGAAGGGCGACAGCGGGGCGACGAAGGGCAGCAATGGGGCCACGAAGGGGAACGAGCGAGGGCCACGAAGGGCATCCGTATATGGGGCCAGAAAGGTCAGCCACGGGGCTACTGAGGGCAGAAACGGTGCCACGAAAGACAGCGAAGGGGGCACGAAGGGCGACAGCAGGGCCACGAAGGGCGGCGAGGGGACTAAGAAGGGCGCGAGCGAGCGGCGGCCACGAAAGGCATACGTAGATGGGGCCAAAAAGTCAGGGACGGGGCCACTGAGGGCAACAAAGGAGCCACGAACGTAAGCGAGGCGGCCACAAATGACAGCAGGGCGACGAAGGGCAGCAA